TAGAAGACGGGAGACTAAGAACCTGGCGAAGGACCAAGTCAGGAAGCGGTAGAGACGATAGCGACGGCGGAACAAAAAACGGGCGCCGCTGCATAGTACCTCCAGCACCAGGACCGCTAGCTCCAGCACCGCTAGCGCCAGCACCTCCAGCAAGAGGGTCTCCAGCTCCAGTGCCTCCAGCTCCAGCGCCTCCAGTGCCAGGGTCTCCAACTCCAGTTCCTCCAGCTCCAGCGCCTCCAGCGCTAGTGCCTCCAGCTCCAGAGTCTCCAGCTCCAATGCCTCCAGCTCCAGCACCTCCAGCGCCAGTGCCTCCAGCTCCAGGGTCTCCAGCTCAAGCGCCTCCAACACCACCAGCTCCGGTAGCTCCACTACCTCTAGTATGAGCACCTCCAGGACCAGCTCCAGCACCTCCAGTACCTCCAGCTCCAGTAGTAACTCCAGCACCTCCAAGACGAGTAGCTCTAGTACCTCCAGCGGTAGAGCCTCCAGCTCCTGCAGTGCCACTCCGAAGGCGTGTGCGCTGAGCAAACCACTCGCGCAGCTGCTGTAGTGAGAGAGGCTCCCGCCGGGGAGAAAATCGTGGTGAGGCCTCTGCAGGACCTCCAGCAGACGCAGTACCCCGAGGCTCAGCACCCCCAGACTCCGCACCCTCAGACCCAGCACCCCCAGGCTCTGCACCCTCAGGCTCAGTACCCCCAGGCTCCGCACCCCAAGGCTCAATACCCCTAGACTGTGCAACCTCAAACTCAGCACCCCCAGGCTCCACACCCGCAGGCTCAGCACCCCTAGGCTCTGCACGCGCAGGCTCAGCACCCCCAGACGTAGCACCCCTAGACGCAGCAACCCCGAAATAAGCACCTTTAGCAGCACCTGAGTCTACAGTGACCTCAACAGGCACAGTCTCGGGAAGTGGGTCTACCTGAGACACACCTGAGGGAGCAGGACCCTGAGGGGGGAGGGGGTCTACCGGAGGGGGACATGGAGCAAGGAAGAGCGGCAAGGGCAAAAAGTTAGGGGAAGAGATGGTAAAAGGGAACCAACTCGTCAAACGTGACGTCCTGAGAGGAAAGGACACGGCGCGAGGTGGGGTGGTAAAACTGCCAGCCAGGCGCGTCAGGGGGAAATCCAAGGAAGACGCAGGGAATAGCACGGAAGGAGAGCTTGTCCGCGGACGTATTGCGAACAAAGGCACGAGATCCCCAGACCCAAAACACCGACGCATCGCCAACCTTCCCCGTCCAACGCAGTGTAGGCGAGGTCTCCGGAAAGGAGACACGGTGCCAGAGGTTGAGCTGATGCGCAGCGTACCGGACTGGAAACGGCCATAGAAAATGGGGAGCAGCCGCATGGATCATGGACGTACGAGCCACCTCCATGACTAAGCCAATGCGGCGCTCAGCAATCCCATTTTGCTGCGGGGAGGCCGGAAGCGTGAACGACTGGAGGATGCCCTCCCCACGACAAAAGTCCCGCAAGAGGTCGGAGGAGAACTCACCACCTCTGTGAGAGTGCAGACGCAGGACAGGAAGGTCCTCGCGGAACCGCTCGCGGAGCTGGAGACGGAATGCACGGATCCAAGGGATAAAGACATCAGGGACCTGACCCTTGGTGCGCAAGGGGAAGACCGTGGTGTAACGCGTATAGTCGTCAACAACCAGCAAAAAGTAGCGCTCGCGGCCCTATCCACTGACGCGGGCTGTGCCCCATACGCCCATGTGGAGAGTCTGCAGGGGAGCAGTCATCGGGGGAAACGAGGAGGAGTGAGGAGCGGCGTGCTGCCACCCCTCGATGCAAGGAAGGCAGGGCGGGGCAGGTGAGTGCGGGAGGGGAGGCAGAGACCTGGGAAGACCAGAGACAAGGAGGCGAGAGTGCATGCCACGAAGGCGTGGCAGGGAGGGGTGACCAATGCGGTGGTGCCAAAGGAGAGTCTGGTGCGACAGGAGGTGACACGAGCAGGGAGGTGCTACCGGACCTGACACGGACACCTGGGCTGACACAGCTACCTGAGGAGGCTCAGTAGCCAGTGTGTACAGACTCGACCCAGGCCGACGGGTGAACGTGGCCAGGTGACGGCCCGTCCGTGTACATGTGCAGATCGACATACGCTGACCCCCAGGAGTGGTGGTAGTGACCATCGCATCCTTGAGGGCAGCGGTACTCACCAAGTTTGTAGAAAACGAGGGGAGGTGAAGACCTGAGAGTGAGCGGGACGGAACCGCCGGACACGGGAGAACAGTGGAGGAACGGGCAAGAACTGGGCCCCCTGAGGGGTCAGCCAGTCTGACTGGTACATGTGCAGAGAGAGGAGTGAGGGTGGTACTGTCGCGAAAGAAATAGCGAGAAGCACCTGAGTCAAGCGTGAAGGTGTGCAAGGCCGCAGTAGGCGCAGTACCAGGGAGAGCAGACTCACTAGCACCTAGAGAAGTAGTCTCTATACCTGGGTCGGGCGGCACACATTGGTAGCAGTCACCCTTAGCACTAACAGACAAGGCATACATGGCAGCAAGGATAGCATCATAGTCAAGAGCAAAGATATCAACTCTAGACCTAAGCAGCTCTGCCCAGCGGGGGCGCTCAGCCTCGTCACCAAACTCTGCGCGCCAAGCGTCGTCTAGGTGGGAGAAGCAGCGGTGCTGAGAGTGAGGCTTCCCGCATGTCTGACCAGCACGGTCACCCGTGCGAATGACATACGGGCATCAAGCACTACCCCCAGACACCCCACGCTGAGCAATCCACTCACGAAGCTGCTGGGGCGAAGGGGTCTCGCTCCGACGCTGCTGCTGCTGCCTCTGGCCACCGCCAGAACCTCCCCTCTGAACAGCTCCACCCCGAATGCCACCACTCCCACTGCTGCCACCACCGCCACCCCCATCGCCTCCACCACTACCGCCACCAAAGCCCCCACTCCCGCCACCTCTCCCACCGCTGCCACCACCTCCGCTACCTCCACCACCTCCACTGCCGCCACCACCACCACCCCCGCTGCCACCGCCACCACTCCTGCCACCCTTGCCCTTGCTGCTGCGGCGCTTCCCACTAATAGCAGAAGCGGCCCCGACATCCTCAGCACCAAGGATGTCACCATCAGCAGAAGAGTCGTAGGAGGGGGCAAGGGGGGAGAAGGAACACCCCACAAAGAAGGGCGTGCGAGGAGTGCCACGAGCGGCACCTACAGCGACTACACTAGTCTCAGCTTCAAGGAGGTGCTGCTCGAGCTGGTCGACAGTGAGGTCAGTGGGGTCAAGTGCGAGAAAGTGGTCCCTGGCAGCGCGAAGAGTGTATGGGAGGCGGGTGACTATGAAGTAGAGAGTGATTTACATCGGGGGCGGGTTCTTGTCAAGGAACTCTGCTGGGAGGGCAGCGCGGTAGCGAGCGTCGCTAGTGCGGAGGTGGGTAACGAGGTCCTCGACTGTGGCAAAGGCTGACAGCTCAGGAAACAGGTAGGGCAGTATAAGGCGGCCTAGAGCAGCAGTGGCAGGGGAGGAGTAACGAGCGACTACAGCGTCGTACAATGCTTTAGCAGTCTTGTACTGGCCAAAGTGAGCGCGTTCAGCTAACGACAGGTGGTTGCGAATGGCTAAGCGAGCAGCAGCGTTACGCGTAAGCCACTGTGAGCGAGTCGCACTGTCAGCTGTGGCGGGCGGGGCGAGAGAGGCTCCAGACGTATGGTCAAACAACAAAACGCTGTCTCTAGAATCGCTCAGTAGGTACAGCTGTAAGTCGTCGAGCCACGTATCGAACTGGATCGGATGGCCTCATGATTGAAGTGAGTACACTGAGAGAAGCCATAGCAGGTAGAGCAAGGTGGCGTGCTACCAGCAGAGCAGCACGCAGGCAGGGCGGCGCGCGAGCACTAGGGAAGCGCGCAGGGTAGGGCAGGGCAGCACACGGCTAGGGCTGCCAGCAGGGCGGCGCACAGCAGGGCGGGCAGTAGCTGGGCGGCGCAAGCAGCTGCAAGGGGGTGGGGCGAGGGCTGCAAAGGGGTGGCGAGCGGGCTGCCAGCGGGCGGCGCACGGGCTGCAAGGGGCGGCGAGCGGGCCGCAAGGGGCGGCGAGCGGGCTGCAAAGGGGCGGCGCGCAGGCTGCAAGGGGCAGCGAGCGGGCTGCAAGGGGCGGCGAGCAGGCTGCCAGAGGGCGGCTCGCGGGCTGCAAGGGGCAGCGAGCGGGCCGCAAGTGGGCGGCGAGCGGGCGGCGAGCGGGCTGCAGAGGCGGCGAGCGGGCCGCAAGCGAGCGGCGAGCGGGCCGCAAGCGAGCGGCGTGCGGGCCGCAAGCGAGCTGCGAGCGGGCTGCAGGGGCGGCGAGCGGGCCGCAAGCAGGCGGCGATCGGGCTGCAAAGGCGGCGAGCAGTCCGCAAGCGGGCGTCAAGCGGGCCGCAAGGGCGGCGAGTGGGCTGCAGGGGCGGCGAGTGGGCCGCAAGCGAGCGGCGAGCAGGCTGCAGGGGCGGCGAGCGGGCTGTACGCGGGCGGGGCAGCGAGCGAGCTGCAGGGGCGGCATGCTGGCTGGAGGGGCGGCTCGCGGGCTGCTATGGGCGGCGCGACGGGCTGCAAAGGGCGGCGCGTGGGCTGCTAAGGGCGGCGCGCCGTTAAGGCAGGGCGGCAGGGCAGCTAGTGGGGCAGCTCTGTGGTGGGCCCTAAAAAAAAAGTCGGTCCAAGGGAAGGACCTGCTCTGAAACCATGTCAAACTATAGAACGAGAATGAATGAACTATGAAAGAGTTAGGTACAGGTACTAACCCTAATTGGGTCGCCTCGGCCCCGCTGGCCCCGTCGTCTTCGTCGCCCGCGCCCGGCCCGTACCTAGCTCGTCGCCCGGCCCGTACCTAGCCCGTCGCCCGGCCCCGTCTCCTGCCCGCGCCCGGCCCGTACCTAGCCCGACGCCCGGCCCGTACCTAGCCCGTCGCCCGGCCCGTACCTAGCCTCGCGCCCGGCCCGTACCTAGCCCGCGCTCGGCCCCGTTCCTAGCCCCGCGCCCGGCCCGTACCTCGCCCGCGCCTGGCCCCTACCTAGCCCGCGCCCGGCCCGTACCAAGCCCGCGCCTGGCCCCGTCCTTCGCCCAGCACCCGGCCCCGTCTCTTGCCCGCGCCCGGCCCCGTACCTAGCCCCGCGCCCGGCCCCATTCCGCGCCCAGCGCCCGGCCCCGTACCTGCCCAGCGCCCGGCCCCGTACCTGCCCAGCGCCCGGCCCCGTACCTGCCCAGCGCCAGGCCCCGTACCTGCCCAGCGCCCGGCCCCATACCTGCCCAGCGACCGGCCCAGTACCTGCCCAGCGCCTGGCCCCGTACCTGCCCAGCGCCCGGCCCAGTCCCTGCCCAGCGCCTGGCCCCATTCCTGCCCAGCGCCCGGCCACGTACCTGCCCAGCGCCCGGCCCAGTCCCTGCTCAGCGCCTGGCCCCGTACCTGCCCAGCGGCCGGCCCCGTACCTGCCCAGCGGCCGGCCCCGTTCCTGCCCAGCGCCCGGCCCCGTACCTGCCCAGCGCCCGGCTCCGTCGCCCCTAGCCATGGCCCCTCGCGACCTGCCGCCCCTAACCGCGGCCCCGGTGCCCTGTTGCGCCATGGTGGGTGAGGGGGTGGCAAGAGGGGGTTCCTCCTGCCCGCGTGCCCTTCAGTCGCACGTGCAGCTCCGCCCCCGCCCCCCTCCCCCCCCTCCATGGGGATGGCGGGGAGAGGGGGAGGAAACTTGGAGGTTCAGGGGGAGGCAGGAGGGGATCTGCAGCACCAGGTCCCCCACCTTTCTCCTACCTCCCCCTGCTGCGGGAGCAGCAGAGGGGGGGAGGGGACCTGCAGCACCTGCCCCCCCCCCCCCCCCCCCCCCCCCGCCCCCCCCCTTCTCCTCCATCTCTCTGCTGCGGGTGCAGCAGTGGGGGGGAGGGTATGGGGGTGGCGGGTGTGGCCAACCTGCTGTCGCCCGAGCGGCTCCTGCACCGCCCCTTCTCCTACCTCCCCCCTGCTGCGGGTGCAGCAGTGGGGGGGGAGGGGATCTGCGGCACCAGCCCCCCCCCCCCCCCTTCCATGGGGATGGCGGGGAGAGGGGGGGGAAGCTTGGAGGTTCAGGGGGAGGCAGGAGGGGATCTGCAGCACCAGGTCCCCCAACCTTCTCCTACCTCCCCCTGCTGCGGGTACAGCAGTGGGGGGGAAGGGGATTTGCCATCCCCCTGCTGCGGATGCGGCAGTGGGGGGAGGGGACCTGCAGCACCAGCCCCCCCCCCCCCCCCCCCCCCCCCCTCCTCTCCGCCCTTTTCTCCTCTCCCTCCCCCTGCTGCGGGTGCCGCAGTGGGGGGGAAGGGATCTGCCATCCCCCTGCTGCGGATGCAGCAGTGGGGGGAGGGGACCTGCAGCACCAGCCCCCCCCCCCCCCGCCCCCCCCCCCCCCCCTTCTCCTCCACCCTGCATCAGCAGTGGGGGGAGGGGATTTGCAGCATCAGCCCCCCCCCCCCCCCCCCCCCCCTCCCTTCTTCTTCCTTCCCCTGCTGCAGGTGCAGCAGTGGGGTGGGGGTATGGGGGTGGCGGGTGTGGGTGCAACTGCGGGGTGGCGGGTATGGGGGTGGCGGGTGTGTGAACCATCCCCTCCTCCTCCTCCACCTTCGTCTCCCACTGCTGCAGCTGCCGCTGAGGTGGGTGGGTGTGTGGGAGCCGAGGGAGTGGTGCTAGGGGGGTGACGTGGGAGTGGAGCTAGGGGTGCAGCAAGGGGTGTGTGAAAGGGGGGTGGGACAGTTCTGGGGGAGGTTGAGCGGAGGTAGCCGTTGTGTCGCCAGCAGCGCCAGTAGTCCGGAGGCTACAATCTCCGGTAGCCCAGCGAGCCTGCTGCGCCAGTCGCCTGTGGGTCCGTTGCTCCTGCCGCTCAGAGTTAGCCGCAGAGCCAGTTACTCCTGTAGTCCGGGGATACGGCCCCGGTAGCCACAGTGCGCGCCGCTCCTGTTGCCCGTGTGTCTGCAGCATCAGCAGTCGCCTCCTATCTCCTCTCCTCTCACAGTCCAGCCTCCTCTTCACTTGCCCTTTGTGAATGCCCCTAGCTCTGTCTGTACTGTGATCTATCTATATACCTGCATGCTTGCACTTGTTAGGGTATGATCACTTTATTGTTTGTTCTCTTTATATAACTCTGCATGTGAACTGGCCTTGTGGCCCTTTGCTTGTGCTCGGACTGTGTGGTGACTTTGTGATCCACCTTGAGCTTGCTTTGCTTTGCTTCTTCTCTTGACTGGTCTTGTGACCATTGCTTGTTCTGGCTATCCCCCACTTCGCCTATGGGGGTGTGTCAAACATATATGCCTAGTTATATCTAGGCTTAGTTTATGTATTTATAGTTGTCTAGGCTATAGTGGGTTTAGCCTTAGGGGGTACAAAGTTTCTCTCGACATTCTACTTGTACCCCTTCCCTTTTCCTAGTCAATCATTTCTCGCCTAAGATTCTAACAGATACTAATCAATAAAAATATACAATACTAAGAAAGATGTATAATATACTGCAATGAGACAAGTATCTAGGCGAATCATCTAATTCAGATGGCTTGCAAAGAATAAGGTAGTTTACAACTTTAACGGTTGTTTACAACTTTAGAGGTAGAATGTGTCAGAGGTCCACTGGTGATCTCCGATTGATCCTAGGGAAGGGTTACAGGCATGTTGGCCTGGAGGGTTATGGGCGCTCTGACCCGCTACTTAAAAAGCCCTTTTATCCCAATGGTCTAGTGGTTGGGATTCTGACAGAATGAGGTGCAACTTCAAAGTTATTACATATACTGCAGATTGCTTTAATCTAGCAAACTTTGAACTTCATGCGCTGAGTCCTTAGCGGGACTTCGAACTCGACCCAACCCTTGCCGAAACGAGAGATTGGGCGAAATGGGCGACTGCCATAACAGGATGGACAGCATTTCGCTAACTGCAGCTGTTGTGTAGGTATGAATCGAAAACCAATCAAACTCATGCACTCGAACTGACGCTTGCGTCATCCCTCCGATTCCCGAAGCGCCCACGCTGAAAGCAACTGAAACGTAGGTATGGTGTAACTTTTTCTCGAGCTACGTTGAAGCACCTGAAACAAAACCTACCCCTCCAACCCCCCTGTTTTTCCGATGACTGTGTCTATGGTACCAGGAAACCAAGAAAATTCTGTATCTTGAGTCTGGAAAGGACTTTATCAATCTCTTGATGGCTCTCCTTAGAATGCCCACGGTCAACTTGCTAAAACTTTTTGTCCAGGGGGGATACCTGATAAAAGGGCGAATTGGGATTCTGAACATATTTTCCAGTACAGACAAGCTTGCCGACTCGTATATGAGAGTGGATAAGGACAATATTTTTAACCCCTCGCCATTTGAAGGGTCTGCGCAACTGTGCCTCCCCGATGGCCCGGAGAAGAGCGGGTTATTTACATGCCATAATGCAACTCATGTGCATGTACACTCGGTTTCAGGAGCAAGCTGCCCAAGCTGTAGGGTGCCCATGTCTCAAGGCATAAACATCTTTGGAGAAGTGCCTCTGGACATCTCAGGGAACTTCTAAACTTGTCCTGACCGCCATAGAGTGGGGTCGTATTACTCCCTGTGCCCCGATTGTAATTGTAGCATGACAAATTGTCTCTCTTGTCGATAAAGGAGGCTGTCACCTTCATGGTTTCTGACGACCTCGAGTTCTTCCCCATTTCAACGATCAAGAGCATCCGTTTGCTGAACAAGCTGGGTGTGAAGTCCATGAATGATCTGGAGAGCTGCGATGCAACTGTCACCAGAGACCATGTAAGTAGAGGATTTTTTCGTCGTTCGTGTTGGGCTGGGCTGTTCCTCGACATTCCCCGATGTTGTAAATTACAATTGTTTATGATACTTTGAACATTCTCTCTGCAGGCACTAGCTCTGGTCCAAGCTGCACTGACGTCATGATCTGCACTGAATGATGTATTCGGGGAAGTCGCTAGGAGGTATGATTCTAATGAAAAATTGTCCAAGAAGGTTTGTTGCTGAGTCGTGTGATAAGGAAGGCGGAAGATGAATACCATGAGTAGACAGTGTGAGGGCGGAAAGGTATAGGGTGAGCAGTGGAAAGTGAGCGCATGACTAGTTGAGATTCTATGGTAAGATGTCGTCGTCGCCCTTCATTGTAGTTAACATACTGGGGTGCGGGGTGCTTTTATCCTATAACTACCGTGTATGCTCTCTCACTTCCTGAGCGCCTCAATGTTTGCTGCTTAGCATGGTAGAATCAGAAGGGTGTGCCTGTGTCTGACAAAAACTGTATCAAGAAGTAGATGTATGGAACACATTGATTCTTGCAGAGTATTTTATGAGCACTGTAAGGGTAATAAAACCAGTCTTGCTCTGATACTAGTGCAAAAATATGTTGGCTGTGTTGCTAATGAGCTACGCAACCTAGCAGGTTAGCATTCCGGGCCATATTCCATTCAAGACAACCTTGCAATGCCACTCATTAGCAAACGCCCCACGACCAAAAGAACACCTCTCAAACATCAAAGCCCGTCGACACTCACCACCCCACTCGACCCCATAGCACCGCTCGACACCGAAGCCCCATCTCCCTGCCCTGAAGCCACCTCCTCCGCCCTCCGAATCTCCCTTGAAAATCTCGGCCCGCGGCGATTCTCCAGGTCGCTGTCGATGCGCACCACCAAGGTCTGGGTCCGGCCGGACCAAGAAACTCCTCCATGGCGATGAGGTCGGAAAGAGTGTGTGCCATGGAGGGGCGGGTGGCCACGCAAGAGGGGCACGGAGGGGTGGGCGTCGACGCAGGAGAGGCACGGAGGGGCAGGTGGCTACGCAGCATGGCACAGTCATACACCGCTATCTACGGACTCCATTTCCCCTATCGACCCCATCCCAACACTCATCCCTGACCCCCCTTCCCACTCCGAAGCCACCGCATTCGCCCGCCGAATCTCCTGCGAGAAGGTCGGCCCGCGGCGGTTCTCCAGGTCACTGTCTATCCGCACCACCAGGGGGTCTTGGTCTGGGCCAAGAAACTCTTCCTTCATGGCGATGAGGTCGGAGAGAATGCGTGCCATGGAGGGGCGGGTGGCCACGGGCGTGGCGGTGCAGGAGAGGGCGAAGCGGGCGAGCTTGAGGATCACATCATTGGGAGCGTCTAGACGCGGGTCCTTGATGGCTTGGGCGTTGTTCTCGGCAACCAGGGGTTGCACCTGGTGGGGGGGGGGGAATGGAGGGGGTGTACAGGTGGAGAGGTATACAAGAAGCACAATTGGCATGGCATGGGCATGAGGAGCATGTCGCAGGGGTGGCATTGAGATAGAGCACCATATGTCCGGAGCATTGTTTCCGGCAACCAGGGGTTGCACCTGGTTGGGGTCAGAAGGGGGTGTACAGGTGGAGAGGTGCACCTAGCAGCATAGCATGAGCTTGATCATATGGCCTGTGTGTTGTATGCACAAAATGTCCATACAGTAAGAGCCTACTCATAGATTTGAAGGAAGTAAGAAATTCACATGGTTCTGACATATGTCAAAACCCCCCTCCCAATCCACCATGATCCATCCATTTATCCTCCCGGTCCACTCACCCACCTGTTCACACGTGCACTTACCCATTGCTTGAGATTGATTTGACCTTCGTCCAAGCACTCTAGAGCTTTCCGGGCCGTAATCATTGTAAGCATCACCACTCCAAAACTGCAAACAAATATGGCATTAAACAAACACATATAGGTTCATGAATGACGAAAAAAGATAGCCTTTTATAGCTTGAGGGAACTTTAAAGCGGGTGCTTCATCTTGAATCAATACTGCTGCAGTGCTTGCTTGCACGTTTGACATTCCTTACCTGTGCATATCCGCCATAGGGGTTGGCCTTCTGCGAGTGGAAGTAGATGGACAAAATCATCTAAAAAAACATTGCTGTAGTGCTTGCTTGCGCGTGACATTCCTTACATGTGCACATCAGCCACGGGAGTAACCTTCTGTAAATAGAAGTTAACCGATGGGGCCCACATATCCTGGTGTTCCCATCACTTGCATCCTCACTTACCTGTGCACATCAGCCATAGGGGTGGCCTTCTGCGACTTGAAGTAAGCAGGGTCCACATAGCCTGGTGTTCCCATCACCCGCGTTGCAATCACCGTGGTTCCCTCTCCCAACCGCACCAGACCAAAATCAGCCACCTTAGCCTGCATGACAAAGTGCATTAAGTACGGGAGGGCATGTGGAAAGAGGTGACTTTTGAGTCGACTCAAACTAGTTCCCTCTCCCAACCTCACCAGACCAAAGTCGGCCACTTTAGCCTGCATGAAGTCAGACACACAAAGGAAGAGAAAAGGGAGTCAAATACAATCGGGATGCACGGTAAGTGGAACAAGTAGAGCTTGGATTTCCGATTAACGGAAAACAAAAAAGAAATCAGTGGGTTTAGGAGCTAAAAAAAAAAAGCAAGAGCACACGTAGGTACAGCCCCACCCTTTGGAGTTAGCTGCCCATATCCCCTCCACCTGCCCCCTCGAAACCTTCCTTCAGCTCCATCTTCCAACGTTTTTTTTTTTTTTTTTTTTTTTTTTTTTTTTATTTTAATTTTCCTACTTGCATCGTTAATAGGTTGTTGTACTTGCACACGTGTTTTTTTTTTTTTTTACCTGCATCTTCTTGTCGAGAAGGATGTTGGCGGGCTTGATGTCGCGATGCACAATGTGGAAGCTGTGGAGGTACTGCAGGCCCTGAGCCACCCCGATGAGCACATCAAACCGCTGCCTCAGTGTCAGAGGAGTAGGCACACCTGGTGGTGGTGGTAGAAAAAGGAAATCAATATTAAAGTGACTAGCTTATGAGTGCATGTTAGTGCCGGAAGCCAAACACAACGGGAAGCAAAAACGAAAGAAAGAAAGTAAGAAAGAAAGAAAGAACGAAAGAAAGAAAGAAAGAAAGAAAGAAAGAAAGAAAGAAAGAAAGAAAGAAAGAAAGAAAGAAAGAATGAAAGAAAGAAAGAAAGAAAAAAAAAAAGAAAAAAAAAACAGTGTTGCACTTTCCTGAGTATACTTAAATTTTGCGATTATGCATGATCTCCCAGCCAAGAATATCCCAAACTTGCATCCAATCAAACCACCTCAAATGATAAGCCCGCAATGGTTTGTCACCACGCACCCACCTGGTCCAATCCATTGCTCGAGGTCGCCATTCTCCATGAACTCATAGATTACAATCTGCTCCGTGCGTTCTGCTGCAACATCTACATCAATGCAGTATCCCAACAGACGCACGAGGTTGGGATGGTGCTTCGTGGCCATCTCGTTGACCTGGTGGGGGGGGGAGGGAGTGATAAAGGAGGGCGAGATTGTTACTTTATGGGCATGAAAGTGGACGAAGAAAGCAAGCATGCATAATGTACATTTGTTATACATATACCAATGGGTTTGCATACATTTACACATCGTATGCATGTACATTTGTTAAACATATACCAATGGATTTGCATACATTTACACATCGTATGCATGTACATTTACATCTACCCACATGAATCTGTACGAAAGTATAAAAGCGTATGCACGCCACATGAAGCCATGAAGCACCATGACTAAGCACCTACGACTCTTCCACACCCCTGCATACCACACGCACTCCTCCTTTCCGCATGCACGCCACTCATCTCCCGGCGAATTTTGAGTCGACTCAAAAGTCGCCTCGTTACCATGGCACACGACATCCTTTCCGACGTTACCATGGCACGCGACATCCTTTCCGCCGTTACTATGGCACACGACATCCTTTCCGCCGTTACCATGGCACACGACATCCTTTCCGCATGCACGCCACTCACCTCCCGGCGAATTTTGAGTCGACTCAAAAGTCGCCTCGTTACCATGGCACACGACATCCTTTCCGACGTTACCATGGCACACAACATCCTTTCCGCCGTTACCATGGCACACGACATCCTTTCCGACGTTACCATGGCACACGACATCCTTTCCGCCGTTACCATGGCACACGACATCCTTTCCGCCGTTACCATGGCACACGACATCCTTTCCGCATGCACGCCACTCACCTCCCGGCGGAAGTCATTCGTCAGCACCCTCGCTTGCTTCACAGCCCACAGCACAGAAGTGTCATGCCGCGACACTCCCCAAAGCTTCTGCTGCCAATCCATTGGATATCATGCGCACTAGCTAGGTGGCACACCCCATTGCACCACCCCGCACCATGCCACGCACGCACCTCTCATTGAAAGTCATTAGTCAGCACCTTCGCTCGTGGCACAGCCCACCGCACAGAAGTGTCATAAGGCGACACGCCCTTGAACATGTCCCCAAAGCTGCTGCTGCTGATCCATTGATAACATGCACACTACCTGGGTGGTACACCGCATTGCACCGCACCACGCCACACCGAACCACACCGCACCACGCCACGCACCTCTCTCCGAAAGTCATTCGTCAGCACCCTTGCTCGCGGCACAGCCCACAGCACCGATAGGTCATGCTGCGACACTCCCCAAAGCTTCTGCTGCCAATCCATTGGAGAACATGCACACTAGCTAGGTGGTACACCCATTGCACCACACCGAACCGAACCACACCACACCACACTGCATCGCACCACACCGCACCACGCCACGCACCTCTCGTCGAAAGTCATTAGTCAGCACCCTCGCTCGCTTCACAGCCCACAGCACAGAAGTGTCATGCCGCGACACTCCCTTGAACACGTCCCCAAAGCTGCTGCTGCCAATCCATTGATAATATGCACACTGTCTAATCCACCGCATTGTTCAGCACGGCACCACACCAAACCACACGCACCACACCACACTGCACCACACCACACTGCACCACACCGCACCACACCACACCACGCACCTCCCGGCGGAAGTCATTAGTGAGCACCCGCGCTTGCTTCACAGCCCACACCACCGATGGGTCATAAGGCGACACTCCCTTGAACACATCCCCACCGCTGCCAGTCCATTGAACAATAGCAAGTTGCTACACTGCACCGCACCATCACACCAAACCACACCACACCGCACCATACCACACCACACCACACCCCACTGCACCACGCTACGCACCTCTCTTCGGAAGTCATTAGTCAGCACCTTCGCTCGCGTCACAGCCCACAGCACAGAAGTGTCATGCCGCGACACTCGGTTGTTGAACACATCTCCAATGCTGCCGCTGCCATTCCATTGATAACATGCACATTACCTGTTTGGTACACCGCATTGCACCGCTCCGCACCACACCACACCACACCACACCACACCACACCGCACCACGCCACGCACCTCTCTTCGGAAGTCATTAGTCAGCACCCTCGCTCGCTTCACAGCCCACACCACCGATGGGTCGTAAGGCGACACTCCCTTAAACACATCCCCAAAGCTGCCGCTGCCAATCCTGTTTGCCTCCGCCCATTCACCAGTGGCCCGCGCCACATCAGCGAGTGAGTACTGCTGACACAGCAGCGGCCCGTGTGTCATTCGACTGCTCATCCCGTCGCTGCCTCCTGATGGCACAGCTGCCGCAGCTGCCGCTGCAGCGGCTGCTTCAGCTGCTGATACTGGGAGTGGTGGGAATGGGTCAAGAGTGGAAGTGAAGTGGAGAGTAATTGAAAATATTAGGGGCTGGCCAGGTAAGGAATTGCAGCGGCCCGTTTGTCATCACACCACTCATCCCGTCGCTGCCTCCTGATGGCACGTCTGCCGCAGCTGCCGCTGCAGCGGCTGCTTCAGCTGCTGACACTGGGAGTGGTGGGAATGGGTCAAGAGTGGAAGTGAAGTGGGAAGTAATTGAAGAGAATAGGGGCCGGTTGGATAAGGAGCATGTTTTTGAGTCGACTCAGAAACAGACCCATCACACAGTGATTGAACCGATTGGCAGCTGGCTGGGTAAGCAATTGCAGCGGGCCCGTGCGTGTGTCATCACACCACTCCCAGATCGACTTTTGAGGCCAAATAAAAGAAATTCTCCAACCACTATGCTTCTCCCAGCCAGCCCCATTTCCGACTCACCGGCTCTTTGCAACCTTTTCCTTGAACTCAACTCACCAGCTCCCTGTGTTGGCGCCTGTGCCCCGCCTCCTGCTCCTCCTGCTCCATCCTTGCTCCTCTTCTGATACAAGCACACCACTAGAAGCACAGCTGCCACTCCCAGAATCACAATCCCCGCTCCCACTGCTATCCCCACCACCACCCCCATCGACACCCCTCCCCCTTCCCCTGAAGCAGGGGGCGGGGGAGGTTGGGGGGAAGGAGGGGGGGAACCGCTCCCCCCTTGGGAGAAAGGGGGAGAAAATCCCCCACTTCCAGAGGGAGGGGGGGCGGTGGAGGGGGAAGGGGGGGCTGCGTCAGTGGTAGGGGCATTGCCACTGGGGGGAGGGGCGGAGCTGGGGGGGAGAGCGGGGTTGATGGCGCGGGGAGGAGGAGGGGATGGGAGAGAAGGGGGAGGAGAAGAGGGGGGAGGAGAGAGTTTAGGAATTGGGGGAGGAGAGAGTTTGGGCTTTGGGGGAGGGGAGATTTTGGGCTTAGGAGGAGGGGAGAGTTTTGGCTTCGGGGGAGGGGAAGGGGAGGGCGGGGGAGGTGAGGGAGGTTCGGCAGGAGGGGCGGCGGGAGGGGGAGCGGGAGGAGGAGAAGAGGGAGGAGGAGGGGGAGGATACACGGGAGGTTCGGCAGGGGGAGGGGCAGGAGGTGGGGCGGATGGAGGGGGAGGGGAGGGGAGCGGCGGAGGGGGGGAGTCGACTACAGGCGGTGGGATAGGAGGTTCCACTGGAGGGGGTGCTGCTGGGGAGAGTTGGGGGGAACAAAACACGCACGCACACATGCACGCACGCACACACACACACACACACACACACACACACACACACACACACACACACACACACACACACACACACACAAGCAGGTCATTAACAGCGAAACATTATGCAAAAATTATGTGGAATGGAACTACAGCCCACCTGCTACAGCCCACCTGCTACAGCCACCAGCCAATGCCAACTGCGTACCAACTACAACTGTCAGCTGTTACCTGCCAAGGAGCAGGAGGAGCAGAAGGCAGAGCATGGCAGTGTTGCCTATCAGGGCATTTGTGATCGCGCCTTTGAGTCGACTCGAAAGCCGGGGCAAGGCGGTGTTGCCTATCAAGGTATTTTGAGTCGACTCAGAAGCCGGAGGAGCAGAAGCCGGGGCAGGGCGGTGTTGCCTATCAAGGTATTTTGAGTCGACTCAGAAGCCGGAGGAGCGGAAGCCGGGGCAGGGCGGTGTTGCCTATCAAGGTATTTTGAGTCGACTCAGAAGCCGGAGGAGCAGAAGCCGTGGCAGGGCGGTGTTGCCTATCAAGGCATTTGTGATCTCGCCACTACCTACAGTTGTTTGCGACCTCATTACCTGCTACAGCTGTCAGTCGGTTGGTGGTACCTGCAGTGAAGCAGGAGAGGCAGAAGCCGGAGAAATCGGAGCAGAGGACGGTTGTGTTGATGGGCGTGACGGTGCATGTGCCCAATGGGCTGCAAGCAACACAACTACCTGCTTACCTGCTCGTGTGCTTGCTACCTGCTTCAAAGCTACTCTTGTTACCTGCAGTGAAGCAGGAGAGGCAGAAGCCGGAGCAGTCGGTGCAGAGGACAGTTGTGTTGATGGGCGTGACGGTGCATGAGCCGCGTGCTGGGCACGACCACAGGTTCAAGTCGTAGTCACTGGGTGGATTGGACGGGAGGGCATGGGTGGTGGATAATGGGTGCATGGTTTGATGTGCGTGATGGTGCATGAGCCGCATGCCGGGCACGACCACAGGTTCAGGTCGTAGTCACTGTTTTTCATAAGAGGATAGGAGGGCTGGGGTGGATTTGATTTGAGAGCAGGGGTGGATTTGAGAGCAGGGGTGAATTTGAGAGCAGGGGTGGGTTTGAGAGCAGGGGTTGACTGGAGGGTGGGGGGGCATTGGTTGATGTGCGTGATGGTGTTGAGCCGCTTGCCGAGCACGACCACAGGTTCAAGTCGTAGTCGCTAGGTGGGTGCAGGGGCGCTCACTAGAAATGTTGCAGGGCTAGGCTACCCATGGCGGCCGTGGATTGGGGGAGTGGGTAGCCACGGCGGCTGGGCATACGAGACCTCGAAAGCATGCCATGCTACTCAAGCCTACCATGCTGGCAATGGTTGCTTGGGGTGCATGGGTGCAGCAAGGGCGCTCACAATGTTGCAAGGCTTTCCAATGGTGGCCGTGGACTGGGGGAGGTATCCCTGCATGGCTGAGATGACTAAGAAACGGGTGCATAATTGCATCGGTGCAGGCATGCATCGGTACGTGTGTGCATGGGTGCTGGGGGCGCTCACAATGTGGCAAGGCTTTCCATGGTGGCCATGGATTGGGGGAGGTAGCCCTGCATCTCGTTTTGAGATATGTTGCTGCTCGGAATGAAGGGGAGGGAAGGGGATCGTAGGGAGGAGAGTGAGGCATTCTAGGCCACCGATTCTTGAGGCGCCTCAAAAGACATTCTAGGCATCGAGGCGCTTCCGACCCAGCTCCCGGAAATCACTTTCAATCCCGAAATAATTATAATCCCACCACCCGATGAAGTTCTTCAAACTAAAGGAAACCAAGAAAAGGAAGAGAAAACCCACCCACAGGCAGGTAGGTGAGCTGCTGCAGGTTCCCTATGCAGGGCGACAACTCCAGTTTTGAGGCGCCTCAAAACTAGTTCCCCATGCAGGGCGACAACTCCAGTTTTGAAGCGCCTCAAAACTAGTTCCCCATGCAGGGTGACAACTCCAGTTTTGAGGCGCCTCAAAACTAGTTCCCCATGCAGGGTGACAACTCCCCTGTCAGCCACTTGTTTCAGAGACGCTTTGACTCCAAGCCAGGAGTATCCAATCCCTATCAGAATAACAAAAAAAAAAAAAAAAAAAAAAAACGAAAGCAAGCAGAATTACACACAGGTAAGTGAGCTGCTGCAGGTTCCCTATGTAGGGCGACAGCTCCCCTGTTAGCCGGTTGTTGCCGAAATCACTGCATGCGTGGGAGAGGCATGAGACAGGCGGAATGACGAAGAGAGGAATAAGACGAGGGAAATGAGGAGAGGAGAGGAGGGGAGAGAAGAACAGAGAAAACGAGGGTCGTCAGGAGGCAAAAGTGGTGAGCTCGGTCCTGTGAACATTTAAAGCTCGAGGCCCAAGCTGCGAAGTGCCAGGGCAAGCTTACTAATCTTGCGCAACGGGTGTTTTGTGTTCTGTATTTTGGGCGAATTTCTGGTTACAGTAGGCACGAAGTAAAATGATTGGTCGAGGCAAAACTCTGTGCTAAAACTACTAGTTTCAGCATTCTGCAATTGGGACTGTCGGTCCAACCAAACAGACGGTTGGCCCTGGGTGTTTTTTTTTTAGAATTCTAAAAAAATCCCGGGTGGGGTTTTCTGACTCAGCAAAAAAAGCATCGAGTGTTGTGAAATCAGACAAGACAACCCCACCCTCCCTCCCAACACCTGCTCGGCTTTGCGTTCACCTCACAAACCACCCAGCTCGCAGCTTTGCGCAAGATGACTAATCTTGCGCAATCTGGGCCTCAAGCTTTAAGTTAAGGCGCCTCAAACGACGACTGAAGAGCTTGGTCAAGAGGGCGGAGAGCAAGAGAGAAAAAGCAAGAGCTCGGTCAAGAGGGCGGAGAGAAAAGAGAGAAAAAGCAAGAGCTCGGTCAAGAGGGCGGAGAGCAAGAGAGAAAAAGCAAGAGCTCGGTCAAGAGGGCGGAGAGCAAGAGAGAAAAAGCAAGAGCTCGGTCAAGAGGGCGGAGAGCAAGAGAGAAAAAGCAAGAGCTCGGTCAAGAGGGCGGTCAAATCCCACTTGCAACAAGGTTGTTCACAGCTGCTGCTCGCCCAGTCTACAACCCTACACGCCTTCCCGCACAGGAACCTACAGACCTACAAGCCTACAAGCCTACATAACCGTAGAGACAACATGCCTGAAGGCCACTCACACGTGCGTGAGCTGAGTCAAGAGGGTGATTGCATCCGGGATGTCGAATCCCAGTATGTTGTTCTGTAGGTAGCTGGTGGGGGAAGAGAGGGGGGAGAGAAGCGAGTAAGGGGGTATTTTGGATCAACTATGATTTATTATCATTAGAATAATAATAACCTTAATAATAATTAAAAAAAATGCAACATTAAAACCACCGGGCTAAGCTAATGCCACATAGAGCTCACATGGCTTTCATGGCAGTGGAGGTGCCAATGAGGAATGGTAGCGACTCCGACAGCTTGTTGTCAGATGATCCCCTGTTGGAAGGTTGAACGGATGCAATGGAAGCTCGTTATAAGTACATTCAATACAAGGGTCTCTTTGATGTACCGAAAACAATCGCCGAGCGCCAACCACACACCACACCACACCACACCACACCACACCACACCATGTCCGTCTGGTGGCACACCACGCTAGAGCATCTCTCGTGGCGGTTCTCATCAAAGTAACAGGTAAGGTGAGTAGGGAGGCTACCGGTGCTGGTTCAACCCAGCACAGCACACGCTCACATCTGCAATTCTCCCTCAGCAGCCGTGACCACCGGTAAGAAGTGGTGAGAAGTGGTGGGAAGTGGTGTGCAGTGGTGAGAAGTAATACTGATTGGTGGAGAGGTACTAAACCGTTGCCTTGCAGTTGACTCAGAAATCGGTGGCGTGCCCGAATCACTCAGGGATGTGTAATACCATAGAAGGATTGTGATACACCGTATGATACGTACCATATTTCTAGGTTTGGAAGAACGCTGAGCACTGGAAGCTCCCCTGAGAGCTGGTTGGCAAAGAGAGAACTGCGGTCAAGGCAGTGGGAGAGATACACAGTAGGAGGGTGCGAGGCGAGGAACATGGTGAGCTGATTCCTCCTAGCATTGAGACAAGAACACAAGTAGTGATCGGGATCGAGGCAGAGATGCAAGTATGTCCAAACGGTTATTTTTTAGGCACCTAAAAAATCTCCTCAATACACGTGTGGAGGTAGAGATGATAATATGACCAAACAGTTAGTATAAACTGGCTGAACTACGAGCATAAAAGCCTCTGTTCACAGATTGTTTTCTGGCGGAATCACATGGCTGGCTGACACAGACTGTTTTGACGGGTTTGTCATGTTTGAACGTTTGACATGCTTGACTGGATTGACTCACACGTCTCTCAAGGCAACCATGTCGCTCATGGTCGCGGGTAAGCTGCCTGTGAGGCTGTTGCAACACATGGAGCTGATGGGTGGAGAGGAGGAAAGGATGCGAGGAGGGATGGGAGAAGAGGAGGGGAACGAGGGGGGAAAGAGGGATGCGCACAACATGCTAACTGCAACCACATCTGAGAATCAGCAGCACTTACAACTCGGTACTGAAACTTGCAACTCGTCACTAGCACTCTCACAAAGAGGGATGCACACAACACGCTAACTGCAATCACATCTCAGAATCAGCACTTACAACTCGGTACTGAAACTCGCAACTCGTCACTAGCACTCTCACAAAGTACAAACAGTCGCTCGCAAGCCACTAGGTATCAAAACTCACAACCAGGTGAGGGCAGTGAGCTGGCCTTTGAGTCTGACTCAAAAGGTGACTTATGAGTCCACTCAAACGCTGCTAGGTATCAAAAATCACAACCATGTGAGGGCAGTGAGCTGGCCTTTGAGTCTGACCCAAAAGGTGACTTTTGAGTCCACTCAAAAGCCACTCAAAAGCCGCTAGGTATCAAAACTCACAACCAGGTGAGGGCAGTGAGCTGGCCAATGGTGGATGGGATGGATCCCGTGATGCCGTTTGAATCCAAGTCACTGGGTCGAGGAAGGGGTGGGGGGAGGATTGTGGAAGAAAAGTTGGTTTCTGAGATTTCTCCAAAATCAGCTGGCCAATGGTGGATGGGATGGATCCCGTTTGAATCCACGTCACTGGGTGGGAGTAAAGGAGGATTATGGGAGAAAAGGAACACGAGCTGCAGTGTGGGGCGATACTGGAGATGAATGAACTTTGAGGCGTCTCAATTGCGAGTCAGAGTGTGGGGTTAATTGTGGGGAATAGAAGTTGGAGCATCGTTGTTAAGTTGTGAATGTGCTGTGGGCATTGATTGCAGTGTTTTTTTTTTTTTTTTTTTTTTTTTTTTGTCCTTTTTGCAGAACTCACAGGTGTGAGAGATCCACCAGGTCACCGATGGTAGCAGGCAGGGGCCCTCCCAGATTCTGCCCTGTCACCTCGCTGCAGCGAGGGCCGTATGGGGGTGGGTGGGAGTGGGGTGATAAGTCTTGAATCGACTCAAAAGTCATCCGCTCCCGGGTTCTGTCTGGTCTCATTGCTGCAGCGAAGGCAGAGTGGGGGGGTGGGTGTGCGTGGGAAAAGGGGAGGAAAGGGTAAGGGGAGTTGGCTTGTGTACGGTTGGTGGGTGGATGGGTAGCGGACAGGGGTCCTTCCAGATTCTGTCCTGTCACCTCTCTGCAGTGAAGGGCCGTATGGGGGTTTGGAGTGGGGTGGTAACAATGGCGGTAAGTATGGGTAAGCTTACTGGCAGCAGGTGAGGTGCGGTGCAGTGAGGTGAGGTGCGGTGAGGTGCAGCGAGGTTTTCGGTGAGTGGTGGGCATTGATTGGTGCTGACAGTCAGCACAACGGGGGCTGTGAAGTCACTTGGGTGGGGTGTTGGGCACAAGGGCGGACGGGGGGGATGAGGCAAGTGGGGCAAGGGGCAGTGCCTGCACACTCACTGACACACACACTGACACACACAGGCAAGGGCTTTGTCCTCTGGGATCCTGAATGTGTGTGTGTGTGTGTGTGTGTGTGTGTGTGTGTGTGTCTGTGTGTGTGTGTGTGTGTGTGTGTGTTTGTGTGTGTGTGTGTGTGTATGTGCGTGTGTGTGTATGTTTGTGTCTGTGCATGCGTGCATGTATGCATGTTTGTGCGTGTGAGAGTGGGTCGGGTGTGCCTGCGTGTGTGTATGTGCACACAACCATATCCACATGCGCATGTGGGCGACGTTTGCGCGTGCGTGTTGTGCATGCATGCATGTGTATGTATACACGTCATCATCACGTACATCCACGCCACCGTCACGTACATCCACGTCACCATCACGTACATCCATGTCACCATGCCCTTTGAGTTGCACGAAATGCCGTATGCAGTGCTGCAGTCACCGCCGGTGTCCCATTGGCTGAAAGTCACCCCCCATGACGTCTGCATGTCCCACAATGCTTGCACTGACGTCAGCATGACGTGGACGTGCCAATTTTATGACGTGGCATGATGTTAAGGAGTAAGGGCGGCGGGAGGGAAGGGAGAATAAGGGTACGTCATTTGTTAGAAGGGTGAGGGGTTGGAGGGGGAGAAATGGAAGGTGGTTGAGGGGTGGGGGAGGAGAAGGGGGGGGAGAGGGGATGGGAGAATGGGGGTGGTATGGATGGGGAGGTGGTGTTTGTGCTTATTGGAATGGGGGCAAATGCACATGTGCGCCATCATCATGCCGTCGCTGGCTAGGTGTTCATACACATGCCACGTGCCCACGCCATACCGCGCGTCCATGTCATCCGATGGTCCACGTCATGCCACGTTACGTCACACCACGTGTCGACGCCATGCCACGTGGCCATGCCATGTCACGTGTCCTTACTGTGCCACGTGTCAATTTCATCCCACGTATCCATGTCAAGCCACATGTCCACGCCACGCCACGTGTCCACATCATGCCACGTGTCCACATCATGCCACGTGTCCACATCATGCCACGTGTCCACATCATGCCACGTGTCCTCGTCATGCCAGGTGTTCACGTCATGCCACATGTCCAGCCATGCCACGTGTCCATGTCATGCCACGTGTTCACGCCATGCCATGCGGAAGGACGACGTTTCCTCCCCGTTATACTCACATTGGCTACTGTCAATCGTTTGCCCCAGCACGTGCGTCATCAATGGAGCGGAAAATACGCTCCATGACGTCAGCGCGACCAGAAGCAGTGTCGCGGACATGCCGTCGCGACTTGGCCTCATCTCCTAGCGGCAGGCTAAGCGCGAATGGGCAGGCGCGAATGGGTTGGTTGGAGTGCGAATGGCGCGAGGCGGAGTTGTAGCGAGAGTGGCGCGGCGCGTGGCGCGATGTGGCGCGGTGCGGCACGAGAGGCGGGATGTAGCTTGAGCCGCAGTCAGGGGGCCTGGCAGCGTGGAATACGGCGGATGTAGTCGCGGCGTTTTATGCGGCGGGTGTATTGCAGGGCTGCGGCGGATGCGGCGTGTGCGGCGGGATGGGTGGCGGAATGCGGCGGATGTAGTAGCGTGGAAAGCGGCGGGATATATTACAGAACGCGACGAGTCAACGGCCTCTTGTACAAGGGGCTGCGGCGTAGAGTAAGTAGCATGCTGCGGGAGGACAGCAATTTCTTCGCCGCAAAAATTGCTGGAGTGGAATGCGCATTGCCACCGACAACAACTGTACTGTATTCCAAGTTCCAACTCCAGAAAGGTTGAGGGAGGGGGACCGGCCACCGTGGAACAAACTCAACAGTTACCCTCCCCCCCCTCCCCCCCCACGCTAGTGGTGCTGGTAGATTTGCGGCGAGGGGAAGGGGGAAGACGGAAGGGAAAGAAATGAGTGCGGAATGGGGAACAGGCAAAGGGGAAGGGGGAGTGTTTGGCGGGGTCGTGGGGATAGAAGAGAACACTGGCAGACTGCGGGGGAACCTAGCTGGGGCTGCGCAAAATCCGCGTACCAGCTTTCCTCCCAAGCATGGAGAACTCCGAGTTACGTGGGGAGAAATCACGCGGTAGCCAATCCGCGTTATCAGCCACGTTAACGACACGTGTAACAGCCAGCAAGGCCTGTCGTCACGACTTCGTTGACTAGCTGGAAACCAAGCTGTGTGGAAAGGTGTAACAAAAATAACTAAACATATTTTATGTGTTTAGGAGCTGATGGCCAGACCCGATACAAGGCCTCCGAGTCCCATACTTTTTAAATTATTTCGTTATAAGGGGCCCAAGCCTCGTCGCAACTTCAGTTTCACAACATGCAGAGATTACACGCATCAATTAAAGTTAGGAAAAAATTCGTTTCCCTGATTGACACGTCCCCATATCGAAGTCTATTACTCCATGTAATAAAGCCACCTCCCATCGAATCTACCAGGATCAGCTTAAGCTCTCTAGAGGACCCAAACCTCCTCTCAATGGAACAATGTACACCACACATTACACTCATATGCCGCTATCAGAGGAATCCACTTCCCCGATTGACACCATCCCAGCGCTCAAACCCGACACCCCTTCACGCTCTGAGGCCACCTTATGTGCCCGCCGAATCTCCTGCGAGAAGCTCGACCCCTTGCGGTCCGCCAAGTCACTATCAATATTCACCAGCACTGGATCCACGTCAGCGCCAAGAAACTCCTCTTTCATGGCGATGAGGTCGGAGAGAATGCGCGGCATGGAGGGGCGGGTGGCGACGGGCGTGGCGGTGCAGGAGAGGGCGAAGCGGGTGAGATTCAGAATGACGTCGCTGGGGGCGTCCAGACGTGGGTCCTTGATAGCATCTGCATCCTCGGCCTCCAACAATGGTTCCACCTAAGGTGGGGAAGGGCATGAATGGAATGATACAAGTGATTGTACTTATAATTGCAATAGTGATGATAATAACAACAACAACAACAACAACAACAACAACAACAACAACAACAACAACAACAACAACAACAACAACAACAACAACAACAACAACAACAACAACAACAACAACAACAACAACAACAACAACAACAACAACAACAACAACAACAACAACAACAACAACAACAACAACAACAACAACAACAACAACAACAACAACAACAACGACGACGACTACGGCGACGACAACGAGGACGACAACAATTACAACAACAATAATAATAATGATGATCATGATGATAGTAATAAGAGTAATAATAACAACACTAATAACAATAGTTTAATGGTAACAATTTTATAATGGCAACAATGATCAAACTCACCCATTTCTTCAGGTTGACTTGGTTGTCGTCAAGATAGTCCAAAGCCTTGCGGGCAGTGATGACTGTCAGCATCACCACTCCAAAGCTGGAGGGGAGGGTGGGGGAGGGGCCACGGGCACAACAACATGGGATTGACTATCACATGTAACTGCCTTGCAGGCAGTCCAGAGCCTTGCAGGCAGTGATCTGATCACCGCCCCCATCACCACTCCACCAGCTTGTACAACTCCAAACCCTCACTCACCCGCGTTCTCACCTGTGCACGTCTGCTGCTGGAGTGGCCTTCTGCGACTTGAAGTAAGCAGGGTCCACATAGCCCGGTGTTCCCATGACTCGCGTATGACCCACTGCAGTGCCCTCGCCCATCCTTACGAGCCCAAAGTCAGCTATCTTGGCCTGAGGAAAGGGGAGACGGGAGACACGAAAAGGGAGAGGGAGACAGACCCGTAACGTGAAACCAGAAGGAACTGCAAATAACAATTAATATATATATGTATATATATTCAAAGATTCTACTGCTTTATTCAATACCTCACCTGCATCTTCTTGTCGAGCAGGATGTTGGCGGGCTTAATATCTCGGTGAACAATATTGAAGCCGTGGAGGTACTGCAGGCCCTGAGCCACCCCGATGAGCACATCAAAACGTTGCCGCAAGGTCAGCGGCTTCTCAACACCTGGTCCGATCCACCGCTCGAGATCTCCATTGTCCATAAACTCATAAATGAGTATTTGCTCCGTGCTCTCAGCTGCCTTGTCCACCTCGATGCAGTATCCCAGCAGCCGCACGAGGTTGGGGTGGTGCTTTGACGCCATCTCGTTGATCTGTGGTGAGGGGAAGAGGGAGACAGTATAGTGGGAACATGCCCTCTTGAGTGCCCCTTGTCCACCTCAACGCAGTATCCCAGCAGCCGGACGAGGTTGGGATGGTGCTTTGACGCCATCTCGTTGATCTGTGGTGGGAGGGGGGAGGGAGTAGGTAGAGAGGGGTTGGGGAAGGGCGAGGCGTGGGGGTTGGGGGGAGAAGGAGAGTGCATGAGACACCATACCACACACAACTGCGTTAGACCCACGCAGCACACCACAGCACTCCTCCCGGTGGAAGTCACTTGTGATCACGGTAGCTCGCTTCACAGCCCACACCGCCTACGGGTCGTGATGAAAACGATTCCCTCAACACATCCCCGAACCCACCGCACAGTACCTAGGAGGTACCCCCATTGCACTGCACCACACCACACCACACCACACCACACCGCACTGCACCGCACCATACAACAACACACCACACCATACCGCGCACCTCCCGGCGGAAGTCACTTGTGATCACAATGGCTCGCTTCACAGCCACACCACTGATGGGTCATCTCGCGACACTCCCCTGAACACATCCCCAAACCCACTGCACATTAGCTGGGTGGTACACCGCATTGCACTGCACCATACCACACCACACCGCACCACACCACACCGCACCGCACCGCACCATACAACAACACACCACACCACACCACACCACACCACACCACACCACACCACAGCGCGCACCTCTCGGCGAAAGTCACTTGTAATCACAGTAGCTCGTTTCACAGCCCACAGCACCGAGGGGTTGTGAGGCGACACTCCCCTGAACACATCCCCAAACCCGCCGCTGCCAATCCGGTTGGCCTCCGCCCAGTTGTTGGTCGCCCGCTGCACGTCCGCCAAGGGGTAGCGCTGGCACTGCTGGTTGCTCGATATGCCCGCCACTGCTGCTGCTCTTGGGGGAAGGGGGGGCGGAGGGTAATAGTAAATGCCTCGAGATTGGAAGCACGTCAGCCAAGGCATAGCGCTGGCACTGCTGGTTGCTTGCTATGCCCGCCACTGCTGGTGGAGGGTGAATGGTGGGGGGAAAGAGGAATGAGCGCAATAGTAGATTCAAGAGCGAATCTTGCCTCCTCCCAGTTTTTGGTCGCCCGCTGCACATCCGCCAATGTTCAGCGCTGGCACTGCTGGTTGCTCGAAGTCTCCACCACTACTGCTGCTTAGGAGGAAAGGGGGAGCGGAGGGTAACAGTAAATGCCACAAGATGCACGTCAGCCAAGGGGGGTAGCGCTGGCACTGCTGGTTACTCGATATGCCTGCCACTGCTGCTGGAGGTTGAAGGTGGGGGAAAGAGGAATGAGCACAACAGTAGATTCAATAGCGACTTTTTGAAGCCGGTTTGCCTCCGCCCAGTTGTTGGACGCCCGCTGCACATCCGCCGAGGGTCAGCGCTGGCACTGCTGGTTGCTCGATATCCCCGCCGCTGCTGCTGCTGCTGCTGCTAGGGTGGGAGCGATTAAAGGGTGCGAGGGAGAAGAGGGGATGGGGAGAAGTGCCACAGTAATCGTTCAGAGCAGCTCCTTCAATACTAAGTGTTTCAAAATATCCCCTCACATCCCTCTAAGCCCCACCTTCCTCTCCCAGGCCCACCCTCCTCTCTGCCCCACCTTCCTCTCCCAGGCCCACCCTCCTGTCTGCCCCACCTTCCTCTCCGCTTCACCTTTATTCACTGCTGTTCTCGCCTTTCCCCTCCTCCGTTACAACCACACCGCTACAAGCACAATTCCCGGCAACAGCACCACCGCTCCCACTACCACCCCCACCACCACCCCTGTCGACACCCCCCCCTCCCCTTACACCGAGATTGAGGACCCTTAATAATCCGTAAGGCCCCTAACATTCTCCTTAACCTCATCCGCACCCCTAAAGCCACCTTCCCCTCTGCCTCACCTTCATATGCTGCTGCTCTAGCATTGTGCTTCTTCCGATACAAGCACACCGCTACAAGCACCACCCCCAGAAACAGCACCACCGCTCCCACCACCACCCCCACCACCACCCCTGTCGACACCCCCCCTCCCCCCTCGGATTGGGAAGGGGAAGGCGGCGAGGGGGGGAGAGGTGGGGCAGGCGAGGGGGAGGAAGGTGAGGCGGGCGAAGGGCTGGTTGGGGCTGGAGGGGAGCTTGAGGGAGCTGGTGGGAGGGAGAGCAGAGGGGGGGAGCAGAGGGGGAAAACAGAGGGGAGCGAGAGTAGATGCTGTTTGATTGACCAGATACACTGTGCGCCACGTGGGGCTGGCTGAGAGCTGGTTATGGCTGAATAGGAGCCTGGGGGGGCTCGTGGGGGGAAGCAGAGGTGGGGGGAGAGGTGGGGGGAGAGGTGGGGGGAGAGGTGGGGGGAGAGGTGGGGGGAGAGGTGGGGGGAGAGGTGGGGGGAGAGGTGGGGGGAGAGGTGGGGGGAGAGGTGGGGGGAGAGGTGGGGGGAGAGGTGAGGGGAGAGGTGGGGGGAGAGGTGGGGAAGAGGACGGGGGGATTTGAAACGTCTAAACAATCCCGCTCTCCAGACAGGGCGGAGGGGAAAGGGCACTTAGCGAGGGGGAGGAAGGTGGGGCGGGCGAAGGGCTGGTTGGGGCTGGAGAGGAGCCTGGGGCTGGTGCGGGGGGGCAGAGGTGGGGGGCAGAGGTGGGGGGAGAGGTCGGGGGAAGCAGCGATGGGGGTAGATGTGTAGGGAGGCGGAGGTGGGGGGAGAAGTGTAGGGAAAAGAAGGTGGGGGGTGAGGTGGGGAGAAGTGGAAGGGAGGGCACCCCAACCACCACCACCACCACCACCACCACCACCACCACCACCACCACCACCACCACCACCACCACCACCACCACCACCACCACCACCACCACCACCACCACCACCACCACCACCACCACCACCACCACCACCACCACCACCACCACCACCACCACCACCACCACCACCACCACCACCACCACCACCACCACCACCACCACCACCACCACCACCACCACCACCACCACCACCCCCACCACCACCACCACCAACACCCCCACCTCCACCACCACCCCCACCCCCACCACCATCACCACCCCCACCACCACCACCACCCCCACCACCACCCCCACCACCACCACCCCCACCACCCCCACCACACATGCTTGCATTGCACGTACGATGGACGCACAGAGAGGAAAAGCATAAATGCACGCTGTTATCACCACCAGCTACTGTGCAGCTATTACCACTAAAATGCTGCTTTTACCAATAAGGTGCTGCTAGTACCAGGTGTGTTACTGCTTTTACCAGGCGTGCAGCTGCTATTACCAGGCATACCGCTACAGGAGGAGCAGAAGGTGGAGCAGTCGGAGCAGAAGAGGGTGGTGTTGACGGCATCAACGGTGCATGCCCCTGTGGGGCACGACATGAGCAGGCTGTCGTATGACCTGCGGTAAAGGGTAAGGAGGGGTAGGGTAACAGGATTGAGACGTTATAGAGCAGTCGGAGCAGAAGAGGGTGTGTTGACAGCATCAATGGTGCATGCCCCTGTGGGGCACGACATGAGCAGGCTGTCGTATGACCTGTGGTGGGGGGTGGGGTGATCGTGATAGCATGAGTTGATGTGCTAGCACGAGGAGCTAGCAAGGGGTGACAGATCAACCGTGCAGGCCCCTGTGGGGCACGACATGATCAGGCTGTCGTATGGTGAGGGGTGGGGTTGTGGCATGAGGTGAGTTGATTACACGCCCGTGGGATAGCGACAACCGTGCAGGCCCCTGTGGGGCACGACATGAGCAGGCTGTCATATGACAACAATTACTTACAACAGGTGATGACAACAATTACTTACAACAGGTGATGACAACAATTACTTACAAGGTTTCGAGCTTGGTCATTGTTGCAAGGGTCTCGGGCAAGCTCCCTTGCATGTCTGTGTTGCCAACATAGCTGGGGAGGGGGGATGGATGGCAGTTGGATGGGGAAAGGGGGAGAAACACATGATACAACACACATGGATGTTATGACAAGAATTCACATACAGGTACCAATATGGTCGACGGGCGTGTGCAGATGACCAATATTGCAAGGCAGGCAGGGTCCCAGAGAGTTAAACATAGGAGAGGTGGGTGCTCGTGAAAGATGGCTTGGGAGGGTACTTTTGAGTTTTGTTTGTTTGTTTGTTTGCTTGATTGTTTGATTGATTGTTTGATTGTTTGTTTTTGTTTTTTGCGTATGAGGAGGAACCCTTCCCCTCTTTGTATGAGCACCTTAGGAAGAGGGAGACGAAATTCACGTACAGATGAAAAAACTTCTGAAGGTTACCGATTTTGGAAGCCAGGCAGGGTTGCAGAGAGCTTGATACATAAGAGGGAAGGGATACACGATGCTCATGCAAGATGGTTTGAGAGGAAGAGGGGATTCATTCACGTACAGGTCGACAAGCTTCTCAAGGTTACCAATGTCTTTTGAGACGTCTCAAAAGCTTCTGAAGGTTACCGATGTTGGAAGGCAGGGTGCCAGTGAGCTGGAGCCAGGAGATGTCGGTGCTCGTGCAGGACGGTTTGGGAGCGGTGTTTTGAGTCAACTCAAAACACGACAGAGTGCCAGAGAGCCGGAGACAGGAGATGTCGGTGCTCGTGCAGGACGGTTTGGGAGTGGGAGGGTGCAAGTTTTACGCTTTTCAAGTAGAGGGAGAAGGAGAAAACGTACAGGTCGACAAGCTTCTGAAGGTCACCGATGTTGGCTGGCAGAGTGCCAGAGAGCTGGTTGTAGGATAGATGGGTGCTCGTGTGCAAGATGGCTTGGGAAGGTCTTACTTTTGAGCTGGAATTCACGTACAGGTCGACGAGCTTCTGAAGGTTACCGATGTTGGCTGGCAGAGTGCCAGAGAGCTGGTTGTAGGATAGATGGGTGCTCGTGTGCAAGATGGCTTGGGAAGGTCTTACTTTTGAGCTGGAATTCACGTACAGGTCGACGAGCTTCTGAAGGTTACCGATGTTGGCTGGCAGAGTGCCAGAGAGCTGGTTGTAGGATAGGTCGCTGTGTGGGAGAGAGGGCCGCAGAATACAGAGGCAGATGGTTAGCAGAGGGGGGTTCTTGATTTTACCGAGAAACCGATATTGAGGAGGAGTTGCCTCTGGGTTGTTTCTGAAGCACTGATGAAGGCTTGCGATCAGAGTTCTCTTAGCTACGGAATTTTTTTACTCTCTTTCTTACTTGCTAAAGCATTTTCTCTAGTACTGCTGCCCTTCTGCCATGAGTGACAACGACCCATGGTCAGCAGAGGGGGGTTCTTGAGTCGACTGAGAAACCGATATTGCGGAGGGGTTCTCTCTGGGTCCCAGAGCGCTGGGTGATGCGAGGGAGTTTTTGAGATGTCTCAAAAACTCCCATTTATCAGTGTGTTTGAGTTGACTGAGATATTGATATTGCGGAGGACGCTCTCTGTGGGTCCCAGAGCGCTGGCTGCACGCGATTGGTCGCTGCGTGGGAAAGATGGATGCAGAGGAGAGGCAGAGAGGGTTTTGTGAGAGGTCAGTGCATTTGGAAAAAGAATTTGCAGGAGAGATGGCAAGGGCAAGTGGCTGCATTACATCTTCATGCGAACGTGTTACATCTTCATGCGAACGTGTTACATCTTCATGGGAACGTGTTACATCGTCATGTGAGTGCGTTACGTCTTCGAATAATCATGTTACAAACATTGTATTTTCGATTACAAATGTTAGATCTTCATATGAGCATGTTACGTCTTCAAGTTAGTGTGTTACAACTAACATCTTCAATAAAGCGTGGCGTGGTATACGCACAGGTGTGACAAGGCGAGCCTAGTGGTAATGGAATCGGGAATGGTGCCGCCGGTGCGATTCTTCAGCTGACTCTACAATCATCTCCAATAAAGCGTGGTCTGGTATACGCAAAGGCGCAGCAAGGCGACGAGAGTGTGGCTGGTATACGCACAGGTGCGACAAGGCGAGCATAGTGGTGATTGAATCGGGAATGGTGCCGCCGATGCGATTCTTGTGCAATGAGCTGGTAGGGGTGGGGGGGGGGGGGGGGGGGGAAGAGGAAGGAGAGGGGGGAGGTGTGAGGGAGGGAAGTGGGGGGGAATAGAAAGGGAACAAGCAATAATGGTGATCGAATCCGGTATGGTGCCGCCGATGCGATTCTTGTGCAACGAGCTGGTAGTGGTGGGGTGGGATGTGGGAAGACGGGGGAGGTGGGAGGGAAAGGGGGGACGAGAATGGGAACAAGCACGGGTGGTATTGGATTCGAAACGATGCGATTCTGGTGCAGCGCACCGGAAAATGGGAAGGAGGAGGGTCAAGGGCTTTGGCCTTCAGTGTGATGAGCAATACCCGTTGTGATTCTTGGGTGGTGATTTTTGAGGCGCCTCAAAAATCGTCTCAGTTTTTGAGGCGCCTCAAAAATCGTCTCAGTTTTTGAGGCGCCTAAAAAATCGTCTCAGTTTTTGAGGTGCCTAAAAAATTCTCAGTTTTTGAGGCGCCTAAAAAATCGTCTCAGTTTTCTAGGCGCCTCAAAAATCGGCTTTGCCCTTCAGTGTGATGAGCAATGCCCGTTGTGATTCTTGGGTGGTGCGACATACGAACTTGTATCAGAGGGAGGTGAGCTGAGCCTACGCATGTTGCCTCTTGAGGCAACTCAAAGGGAGTTTAGAGATGAATTTTGAGTCAACGTAGGAAGGAACCAGCTGAGACTGCCAATGTTGGAAGGAATGCCTTTTGAGTTGATCCAAGATGACTTTTGAGATGTCTTTTGACGTGACTCAAAGGTTGACTTTATGTTGACAAACGTGACTCAAAGGTTGACTTTATGTTGACAAACGTGACTCAAAGGCTGACTTTACGTTGACAAACGCGCCTCAAAGGTTGACTTTACGTTGACAAACGTGACTCAAAGGTTGACTTTACGTTGACAAACGCGACTCAAAGGTCGACTTTACGTTGACAAACGCGACTCAAAGGTTGACTTTACGTTGACAAACGCGACTCAAAGGTCGACTTTACGTTGACAAACGCGACTCAAAGGTTGACTTTACGTTGACAAACGCGACTCAAAGGTTGACTTTACGTTGTCAAACGCGACTCAAAGGTTGACTTTACGTTGACAAACGCGACTCAAAGGTTGACTTTACGTTGACAAACGCGACTCAAAGGTTGAATTTACGTTGACAAACGTGACTCAAAGGTTGACTTGACTCTGGCAAACGTGACTGACAGGAAGGTGACCCAGCTGAGGCTGCCAATGTTGGAAGGGATGCTGCCAGACAGACTGTTGTACGAAAGGTCACTGGATTGGGGTGGAGATGGGCGGATTGGGGTGGAGATGCGCAGAGTGGGGTGGAGATGGGCAGAGTGGGGTGGAGATGGGCGGGTGGAGATGGGTGGAGTGGGGTGGAGATGGGCAGAGTGGGGTCGAGTGGGGCGCAGCGGGGTGGGGTGGAAGGGCGGGAGGGGCACAAGGGGGAGAATTGTGGACGTTTGAGGTTTCTAAAGGCAGAGTGAGGAGGTGGTTAGAGAGTTGTGAAATTGTTGTGGGGAGAGGCGTGGGTAGAGGCATGGGAGGGTGTGACTCCCTACGAAGGAGGATAGAGGGGTTCGAAGGGGGATAGAGGGGTGTGAAGGGGGATAGGGGTATGAAGGGGGATAGAGGGGTGTGAAGGGGGATAGAGGGGTATGGAGGTGGATACAGGGGTTTGAAGGAGCAAAGAGGGTGTGATTCGTGAAGGAGGATAGAGGTGTGTGAAGTGAAGGAGGATAGAGTGGTGTGAAGGAGGATAGAGAGGTGTGAAGGAGGATAGAGTGGTGTGAAGGAGAATAGAGGGGCGAGGATAGATAGAGGGGCGTGAAGGAGGATAGATGTGCTTACTGGAATACGGTGCGGGGTACATAGGGTGCGGCCCTGCTTGATTACACGTGTGTGAGGCCCCATGGGCCTGTGATGGAGTCTGGACTGGGATACTGCCTGACAGATGGTCCTCCTGCAGATAGACGACTCACACCCACAGCTATAGCTGTGGGAGCCCCACAGGGTGCGGCCCTGCTCGCTTACACGTGTGTGAGTCCCCTTAGGCCTGTGATGGAGTCTGGACTGGAATACTGCCTGACAGATGGTCCTCCTGCAGATAGCTTTGAGACATCGCGAAATCGCCCACGTCTTACACGTGTACAAGCAAGTCCCCTCAGCCATATGACTTTTGAGCGTGTAAGAGTTTTCTTAGCCTAGGGAATTTTTACTCTTTTTCTTACTTGCTAAAGCGTTTCACTAGCACTGCTGCCCTTCCACCATGAGTGACAACGACCCGTGTAAGTAGACGACTTTTGAGACGTCTCAAAAGTCGCCCACGTCTTACACGTGTACAAGCAAGTCCCCTTAGCGTGCGCCCGAGCTTGTCCCCTTAGCGTGCGCCCGAGCTTACACGTGTGTGAGGCCCATTAGGTTTGTGATGGACTCTGGGATACTGCCTGACAGATGGTTCTCCTGCAGGTACCTGGGGGGGATATGGGGTGTTGGGGAGAATGGGGTGCGGGAGGGAGTGAAGGGTTGTGTGGGAGCCAGATCTTGAGGCCACCCCAAATCAGAACATAGTCTGGACTCTGGGATACTGCCTGACAGATGGTTCTCCTGCAGGTACCTGGGGGGGATATGGGGTGTTGGGGAGAATGGGGTGCGGGAGGGAGTGAAGGGTTGTGTGGGAGCCAGATCTTGAGGCCACCCCAAATCAGAACATGGTCTGGACTCTGGGATACTGCCTGACAGATGGTTCTCCTGCAGGTACCTGGGGGGGATATGGGGTGTTGGGGAGAATGGGGTGAGGAGAGGGAGTGAAGGGTTGTGCTTGAGTCTGATTTTGAGGCGAAACCGAACCAAATGGCTGACAAATGGCTCTCCTGCACATAACATCAGGTTTTGAGGCGCCTCAAATCCAAATGGCTGACAAATGGCTCTCCTGCACATAACATCAGGTACCGCACTCTACCATAGGCAAGCTCATTTGGCTGTAGGCTACCTCACGCCACTCACAGGGCAATCATTTCTGTGTAATCGCCAATATGTGATGAAATCAACCCTGTTGGGTTGTTTCCCAATGACCCCTGCCATAGGCACATTACCGCAGGCTACCATGCATTACCATAGGCTATCGCACAGTACCGTACACTAACTCATGTCACTCACAGGGCAATCAATTCTGAGCAGTCGCCAATATGTGATGAAATCGACCCTGTTAGGTTGTTTCCCGATGACCCCCTGCCCATAAGCACACCCGTTACAAGCACACGTGCACACAAGTATGTGATCAGTAAGTAAATGCTTGTGCATGTGCGAGTACAGCACCACTGTTGAGTAGCAGCAACGAGTCGGGAAGGAAGAGACAAAAAATGAAACCATGTAAGGGAAGAGACGAAAGGGAAGAGGCGAAAGGGAAGAGGCGCGTGGAGTACAGTACAGTGTCGCGACTGTACTGTTGAGTAGCAGCAACGAGTTGGAAGAGAAGGTTGCGGAAGGGAAGGTTTCGCACCATTGGAGCAGGTTGCGAAACGGAAGGTTTCGCACCATTGGAGCAGGTTGCGGAAGGGGAGGTTTCGCACCATTGGAGCAGGTTGTGGAAGGGAAGGTTTCGCACCATTGGAGCAGGTTGCGGGAGGGAAGGTTTCGCACCATTGGAGCAGGTTGCGGAAGGGGAGGTTTCGCACCATTGGATCAGGTTGCGGAAGGGGAGGTTTCGCACCATTGGAGCAGGTTGCGGAAGGGAAGGTTTCGCACCATTGGAGCAGGTTGCGGAAGGGGAGGTTTCGCACCATTGGAGCAGGTTGCGGAAGGGAAGGTTTCGCACCATTGGAGCAGGTTGCGGGAGGGAAGGTTTCGCACCATTGGAGCAGGTTGCGGAAGGGAAGGTTTCGCACCATTGGAGCAGGTTGCGGGAGGGAAGGTTTCGCACCATTGGAGCAGGTTGCGGAAGGGAAGGTTTCGCACCATTGGAGCAGGTTGCGGAAGAGACTGAAGTCGGGAAGAGGGCCGCTGAGTTGGTTGGCATAGAGGGAGCTGCGTTGGGGGATCGAGCGAAGGGGGGGGAGGATTGGGAGAGGGGATGAGAGGATGAGAGGAGGGAAGGGGGCCGCTGAGTTGGTTGGTATAGAGGGAGCTGCGATGGAGGATCGAGCGAGGGGAGAGGGGAGGAAAAAGGAAAGGAGAGGAGAGGGGAGTAGAGGGGCAAGGAGAGAAAGGTGGGGAGAGAGGCAAGGAGAGAGGGAAAGAAAGAGGGGAGGATAGAGGTGAGTTGACTTGGCTTTACTTAACTCACACTTTCCTCATGCTGAATCTTTTTTTTTAGAATTCTCAAAAAACAATGCTAAGTGTGCTCTTGTCACAAAGTGACTGGTGCTGAGCCGACTGGAAAGACAAGTGAACGCATGAATTGAGTCGAATTGCGTTGACTTGACTGGAGTTGACCTTCGTTGACTTGACTTGACTCACACGTCTCTCAGATTGACCAGGTTGGTGAAGGTTTTGGGGAAGCTGCCCGTGAGGCTGTTGCGAGCCATGGAGCTGATGGGTGGGGAGGGGGAAGGGACCTAAAGCTGAGAACGGTAGGAACTAAAGAAACAAGCTTGCGAACAAAAGCTGCACTGCGTCTTCTAAGCACTCATAGGTTCACTTCATTTACTCACGATTGGGAAGCATCGCACACTGCCACAACCGTTTGACTTGTTACTAACTTGTTAGCGTCACACCCGCGATCACCCGCGACTCATCAGCACTCACAACCAGGTGAGGGCAGTGAGCTGGCCAATGGTGGATGGGATGGAGCCTGTAATGCCGTCCCTATCCAATGTCCTGCCACCCACCACCATCGCCCCAGTAAGCAAGCGAGCAAGCAATGGTCAATGGATGGGCAGTGGGCAATGGGAGTAGGCCATTGGCCAATGGCAGAGGGGATGTGTAATCATTGCTCAATGCACGGAGCCTGTGATGCCATTCCATGAATCCATTGTCTTGCCACTGTCGCCATTAAGCAACCATGCCCCAGATAAGCCAGCAAAACAGCAAGGACGCAAACAACCGATCAGGCTAGCGAGCAACCAGGCAAGAAAGCAAGCAATCAATCAAGCAATAGCAAATTCAGCCGCACAAAAAGGTCTCAGGCCCGGAACTTGAATGGAGACCAGTAAGATGTCTCAAGCAGTGGCCTCAGGGAAGCTATGTGGAAATCACTTTTGAGAATTCTCAAAAGTGATTGCAAATTGAGACGCACAGCACAAGAAGGTCTGAGACCCAGATCTTGAATGCAGACCGGTACAACGTCTCAAGAGGTGGCCTCATGGAAGCTTTTAAGTGGCAAACGTACTTGGTCAGGGACACGATTGCAGCAACGGGTGGAAGGAAGAAAGGGTTGCTTCAGCAGAAACATACAGCAGCAGCCACTCACGTGTAATGAAGTTATTTTTTAGACGTCTCAAAAATAACCTCATTACACGTGGCTTCAGCACCAACATGCAGCAGCAGCCACTCACAGGTGCGAAAGAGCCACCAGATCACCGATGGTGGCGGTGCCTTGGGAGGGGCTTTAAGAGCATCAGGCAGCAAGCAGAAGGCAGCAGTCACTCACAGGTGTGAGAGAGCCGCTAGATCACCGATGGTGGCGGGGAGAGGCCCTCCCAGATTCAGCCCCGAGATATTTCTGCAGTGCAAGCCGTGTGCGGGGAGTATCAATGGGGAGGGAAAGGGTAAGTGGAGTTGGCTTCCAGGATGGGACGCTGTGTGCATGGCAGTCAGGATGGCAGACAGGATGGCAGTCAGGACGGCAGTCAGGATGGCAGTCAGGACGGCAGTCAGGATGGCAGTCAGGACGGCAGTCAGGATGGCAGTCAGGACGGCAGTCAGGATGGCAGTCAGAATGGTAGTCAGGACGGCAGTCAGGATGGCAGTCAGGATGGCAGTCAGGATGGCAGTCAGGATGGCAGTCAGAATGGTAGTAAGTGTGGATGTTTGTGCGCATGCCGATGTGCATGCATACGTGCGTGCGTGTTGTGCTTGTGCATGCGTGCACGCACCCATGCAAGCAGCAAATGGCCCAAGCAAAAACGCCTGAGCCTTGGGAGCAACACACAATCCGACAAATACGTGCTGAGTTACAGCAGCATGCCAAGTCATCGAGTACATGCCATGTCACAACATGCCACGTCATCCACTGCAAGATGCCACAAACCACCCACGGCCATGCAGAGCACCACGTACAACCACGTCACCATGCCGTCAGCGTTGCATGATATGCTGTAGGCGATGCTGCAGTCCCCGTTGGTGTCCCATTGGTCAAATGTCACCCCCCATGACGTCTGCATATCCCATAATGCTTGCACTGACGTCAGCATGTGATGCGCAGCAGGCGGGGATGGGCGAGGTTGGGGGGAGGGGGAGGGGAAAGAAAAGGAGGAAATGGAGGAGAGGGTTGGGAGGGGGGGGAAGGGGGAGGGGGGGGTTTGGGTATAATGGGGAATTTAGAAGGGAAGAACGGGGGAAAGACTTTGTGGGGAGAGTGTTAGAACTTGAGCTTAGAATCAATGCATTAGTAGTGAGCTCAAAGCTCTTTAAGTACATCAGAAATGAGCAAGGAATCGATGGGGAGGGAATTGGGGGCAATCCTAGGGAATTGGGGGTAATCCCAAGGCAATCTCCAATTGGTGGGTGGGAGATTGCTTGGAGATCACATTTGGGTTTGGTTGGGATGTGGGTGTACACCCAACCAAACACAAAGTGCAAACTACACTAAACTAGGATATAAAAAGTACAAGTACAAATGTGAGATTGAGGGCTAACATTAACAGAAAGGTAAAGGTGGGAGAGGAGGATGGTGCGCGGTGTAGGAGCCTGGAAAGGGAACATACTGGGGTGGGTCATGCCGTGCCAGGGGCACATGGTGACTCCCATGGTGATTCAAGGTGACTCATGATGGCACATGGTGACTCATGACAGCACATGGTGACCCGTGATGACTCATGGTGACTCGTGATGACTCATGGTGACTCGTGATGACTCATGGTGACTCATGATGGCACATGGTGGCTCGTGATGGCACATGGTGACTCGTGATGGCACATGGTGACTCGTGATGACTCATGGTGACTCGTGATGACTCATGGTGACTCTTGATTGAACATGATAACTCGTGATGGCACATGGTGACTCATAATGGCACATGGTGACCCGCAATGACTTATGGTGACTCATGATAGCACATGGTGAATCGTGATAGCACATGGTGAATCGTGATAGCACATGGTGAATCGTGATGACTCATGGTGACCCTTGATGACTCGTGGTACTAACTCGTGACGACTCATGGTGAATCGTGATGACTCATGTGACTCGTGATGACTCATAGTGACTCGTGATGACTCATAGTGACTCGTGATGACTCGTCGTGACTCGTGATGACTCATGGTGAGTCATGAGATGGCACATGGTGTCTCGAGATGACTCACGATGGCTTAAGATGACTCAAGATGACTCATGATGACTCATGATGACTCATGATGACTCACTATAACTCACGATGATTCAAGCTGACTCAAGTTGAATCAATATGATTTATGACGACCATGGCTTCAAAAACAAGGACCCTCTACCTGCATGTTGGCTGGACGACTTGAGGTCTCCCGTTACACTCACACTGGCTACTGTCAATCGTCTGTCCCTGCACCGGAGCTGTCAGCGCTCCCCATGACGTCAGCATAACGCACAGCAGAAGCACCGCCACCGTCAGCCGTTCGCGATTCGTCGCTATCGCGGAAGCAGCGAAAGAGGATGCAGCGAATCGAGGCTGCTTCGTCGCCATCGCGGAAGCAGCCATCGCGGAATCAGCGAAAGAGGATGAGGCTGCGGCGGATCCGCGAGCCGAGGCGTTCGGGGAAGGGTTTGTATATAAGCAGCAAAGGGGACACCACGACTCCGATAAGGTGAACTTTAATGCGGGGATTCCTAAAAACTCAGGCTTGTTGCACTATCGTTACTAAAATCGTCGAGGTTGCGTGAGCTACTACTAATAGTCGTAGTAATGCCTACAAGGTCCGCATTGAGCATTGCCATGCAATTCAACGCGTCACGTGCTCGGAGGGTAGGGAAATCACAAAATGGCTGGAAAAAATCAAGATAACTCCAACTCCAACCAACACAGCGAAGGAAGATCATCTGCTTCGCACTGTTGAAAAACGGAAAAGTTTCCCGTTGCGTTGGGTTGGGTGGGCTAGTTTCCGTTGCCCTGGACATGGGGTCACCACGAAAATAGATACTTCTTGGTTTCGTGGGAGATAAAGTTATATGTCCGGTAATACTCGCTAAACGAAATAGCATTTCACCCAACAACTTGAGGGCATTGCTTGGTTCTTTTCGTTGTGATCCATTTTAAGTAACAGTGTGGGAATTCAGTTTTTTCTGGGGGTATTGGATGTGGGCATCCCTGAACTAGGCACACAGCTGGACCTTCCACGATTTTAGAATCGTCCTAAGCCTGCTAACATTGTACCTGACGTGCTTAAAGAGCTTCTTGTCCGTTTCAAGCTTAAAATGAGGAAGCAGTCGGCTTTCAAGGACGGTTTCTGCTTCCATCGAGTGGCTCACCCGCTGACCGGCGCAGACACTGATGTGGTGAAGGGACTGGTCATTCAGCACCCTGGGGACCGGTACCGCTGGCGCCATATTGTTGACAACCCACTGGAGGTCGGCGCGAAGCTGCTAGTTCACTATCCTGAGTTGTCCTGTTCTCTCTGCGGCAGACAGCATTATGAGATTTATCATGATCTGTTCGTCACCGAGAGACAGAACAATATAGGGAAGTGGTCACTGACCTTGGGAAATATCCATCGCATCAACGGTAACTGCACGGATCAGTTTACAGCTCACGACTCACCTTTTCCTTTTCTTACGCTTACTGACGAATCTGCTTGCTGTCGCAGCTGCTTCCTTGCGTACTTCCGCACTGATCACCCCCATTCTGAAAGATCCTGCTGTTGCTCTTATCTCCACCGGTGGGAACCGCGAAGAGTGGATCTGCACGCAAGTCTGCTGCGGGAAAGCAAAAGGGAAAACTTTCATGGCTGCCTCAGACCACATTGCATCTGCATCTCATCTGCTGAACCTGGAGAAGCTGGGTACTGCGACCAAGTTCACACTCGACAAGATGATCCTCAGCAATCTGAAGGAGTATGGGGTCTGAGTCGAGCCGAGCAGGGTGTTTTCATTGCAATAGCCGTTTGGGTGTCCGTTGTTGGAGTAGTTCTCGTTACCAGCCTGTGGATGAAGCGGGGCTGCCAGATGGTGAACAAATGAGTAACAAAAACTTCTTCTCCTTAGCAGGCCTGAATGTCAACGGCCTTGGCGATCTGACAAAGCAATCTAGAGTAACCTCATGGACAAGAACAGCAGCAGACGTACTGATTCTCTCGGACACCAGACTGCCTGACGACCATCCTTACTGGAAGACAACCTCTTTCTCCACAGTCCTAACCACCCCCCCAACTGCTAAAGCGGGAGGTGTGGCGGTGCTCACCAGGAACCCATCTATCACCATACATAAGATCTCCACTCACCCTTCTGGCAGACTGATAACCGCTGAAGTCAGTCGGCCCGGTCTCACTTTAACTCTTTTAGCCACATACTTCCCTGCTGACGCAACTGATCGTAGCTTTTTAGCCAATGTCATCGGCCCTGCCATAGATCTTGTTCCACCCACAGCGCACGTTGTCCTGATCGGGGACCTGAACACAGTGGAAGACCCGTTTTTAGACAGGACATCACAGTCAGGATCGTCACTAGAAAACAGACTTATCTCGCGATGTAGCCGCTTTCAATTCTCGGACGCTTTCCGCACACTGCATCCAAAGCTGAAGGAATTTACCTTCTACTCCGCCTCCAAAGAGTCTAGCTCCAGGATAGATCGCGCGCTCGTCTCTTGCTCCTTACTTCCGCACCTGGAGATAGCCGCACATACCATGCCAGAGGAGTACATCTCAGATTACGGTTTCGCTATTAAAGTTGCTTTCAAGGTAAAGGCCACTTCTCACCTGGGCCCCGGAATCTGGAGACTGCATGCTGCAGCCATCGGCAGGCCAGGGGTCAGGAAAGCGGTGGAAGCTGCGCTTGCCAAGGCAGAGGCAAGTGGCGAGGAGGATTTTGAGCTATTGCTGGGCAGACTTAACGCGGGCCTGCGGTCGTATATGAAGGAGGAGAGGAAAAGGGTCAAAAAGACCACGGCGCATCTGGCAGACGTGGTGGCGGAGCTTCGGCAAGAGCAAATGCGGAACCCAAGCTGCCAGCGCGCTAGGGATCTACTGTTGGTCAGGGAGACGCAGCTGCGGGAATACCATGCGGCGAAGCGGGACAGACTTCATCTGATGGCGGGTACGAACATTGAACTGGCGGGAGAGGTGCCGTCCCCTTTCCTGTCAGCGAGGGTAAAGGTCAGAAAGCAGCGCACACAGATTGCAGAGCTGTCAGTAGGCGGTGTGACGGTGACAGATTCCAAAGAAATTCTGGCGGCGGCCACCAACTATTTCACAGACCTTTTTGGATCGGACAGTCGCTCGACGACGGCCATTTGGAAACTAAAATCGCATTCATATTCCTTCAGAATCGTAAGCCAATAGCCTCCTTCGCCAGCCTGCTACCACCATCATTCGGGACGTGCGATTTGCCAGCGGGGCTTGTGTCGCGGACTCCGTTGACTGCAGCAAGAGCGGAAGCTCGTATACACAGCGATCCATTACTCTCGCAAAATTACTTATTCTGCTAGTAGACAACAGAACAGTTGAACAATATATTTTAACAGATGAGCCAATGACCAGTCCTGATACAATCAATTACTTGGCTTTGTGTATGTCTTCCATCACACCCAAACCCCGTTACGATCTTACTTAAAATACGCCTTTGAATTCACCTGAACACCCTGATTCCTCTATCGACTCCATCCCTATGCCAAACCCCATGTCTCTACACGATGAAGCCAACTCATTCGCCCATGGCATCATTCAGGAGGAGCTCGAACCTCCTCTCAATGTATCTTCCACACCACACGCATGCTCATACATGGCAATCGAGAGAATCCATTTCCCCAATCGACGCCATCCCATTGCTAAACCCCGACGCGGCTTCCCTCTCCAAAGCCACCTCATTAGCCCGCCGAATCTCTTGCGAGAAGCTCGAGCTCTTGCGGTCCGCCAAATCAGTGTCGATATTCACCAGCATTGGATCCACGTCAGCGCCGAAAAACTCTACCTTCATGGCAATAAGGCCGGCGAGAATCCGCGGCATGGAGGGGCGGGTGGCCACAGGCGTGGCGGTGCAGGAGAGGGCGAAGCGTGCGAG